CCCCAAAATTCCCAAAAATTTCGGGATCCCCCGGTTCGGATCCCTCTGGAATTCCGCGCTCCCTCCCCCTCCCTTTCCCAGAATTTTTCGGGGGGATTTCCCAAAAATTCGGGATCTCGGACGTTTTTTGGGATCCTCTGGAATTTTTGGGGGGGGTTCCCCCCCCCCCTTAAAATTTTGGTTTCTCCCAAAAAGTTTTTCCCCCCCATTCCCGGAATTTTTTGGGCTCTCCCTTTGGATTTGGGGACCCCAAATTTTTTGGGATCCCTCTGGAATTTTTGGGCTCCCCTGGGATGGAAATTTGGGGTTAAATCTGATTTGTTTTCCCCTTTTCCCGCAGGAATTCCTCCCCCGTCCCCGGGAATTTTTTGGGCTCTCCCTTTGGATTTGGGGACCCCAAATTTTTTGGGATCCCTCTGGAATTTTTGGGCTCCCCTGGGATGGAAATTTGGGGTTAAATCTGATTTGTTTTCCCCTTTTCCCGCAGGAATTCCTCCCCCGTCCCCGGGAATTTTTTGGGCTCTCCCTTTGGATTTTTGGGCTCCCAAATTTTTTTTTGGGGGGTGGGGATTTTTTGGGATCCCTCTGGAATTTTTGGGCTCCCCTGGGATGGAAATTTGGGGTTAAATCTGATTTTTTTTCCCCTTTTCCCGCAGGAATTCCTCCCCCGTCCCCGGGAATTTTTTGGGCTCTCCCTTTGGATTTGGGGACCCCAAATTTTTTGGGATCCCTCTGGAATTTTTTTGGATTTTTCCATCAATTTTGGGCTCCCCTGGGATGAAAATTTGGGGTTAAATCTGATTTTTTTTTCCCCTTTTCCCGCAGGAATTCCTCCCCCATTCCCGGAATTTTTTGGGCTCTCCCTTTGGATTTGGGGATCCCGGATTTTTTGGGGGGATTTTGGGGAATTTTGGGGGGTTCCATGACCATCCACAATCTCTACATCTTCGACCGGGGCGGCTCCTGCCTCTTCTACAGCGAATGGCACCGGAGGAGACCCCCGGGAATCCCCCAGGAGGAGGTTTGGGAGCGGAATTCCGGGAAAATTTCGGGAAACTCTGGGAATTTTCGGGAATCTTTGGGAATTTTCCGGAATTCTGGGGAATTTTCAGGAATTTTGGGGGAGTTTTTGGGGCTCTGATGGGGATTTGGGAGGGAATTTTTGGGGTTTTTTTTTTTTTTTGCCGGGTTTGGTTTGGGAAATTCGGGGTTTTTTGGGAATTCTTGGGGAAATTGGGAATTCTGGGGGGAAATGAGGGATTTTGGGGTTTTTGGGAGGATTTTGGGGTTGGCATTTGGGACTTTTGGGGGAATTTTAGGGGGATTTCAGGAATTTTGGGGGGATTTGGGGACTTCTTGGGAATTTTGGGGGAATTTGGAAAAACTTGGGGGGATTCTGGGGATTTTTGGGGCGTTTGGGAAGGGATTTGGGGGAGAATTCGTGAATTTTGAGGGGATCTGGGGCTTTGGGATGGGGAATTTGGGGAAATTTTGGGAATTGGGAGTTTGGAAGTCTGGAAATTCTCCCAAAATCCCCCAAATTTTCCCAAATTCCCAGGAATTCAAGCTGATGTTTGGGATGCTTTTCTCGCTCCGCTCCTTCGTGGCCAAGATGAGCCCCACGGACATGTATCCGAAAATTCGGGATTTGGGATCCCAGAAACCCCCGGGAGATCCCAAAAAACGGGATCAGATCCCAAAAAATGGGCGATGGGGGGGATCCTGGATGAGGATTTGGGGGGATTTTGGGGGAATTTCGGGAGGAATTTGGGTTTTTTGGGGATCTTTGGATCCCCCGGGAGCATCAGCCGACCCCAAAAAATTCCAGGGGCGTCCTAAAAAAATCCCAGGGTGGGGGGAGGAATCCCAAAAAAAACCCCGAGGGATTCGGAGATTTTGGGGGAGGATTTTGGGATTTTGGGGTCTGGGAGAATCCCGAGGGTTTGGGGCCATTTGGGGACCCTCTGGAATTCGGGAATTCGGGGGATTTGAGCTCCTGGAGAGCCGGGAGAGATTCAGGGGGGAATTTGAGGGGATTCTGAAACCTCGGGAATTTGGGGAATTTGGGGAATTTGGGGAAATTCGGCGTTTTGGAGAGCGCCAAACCTTCAAGGTTCGGGGCAGATTCGGGGCAGGTTTGGGGCGATTTTGAAGCGGATTTCGGGGTCTGGGGGTGGCTCCGGCGGCTGGAGGCGATTCCCTGGGATTGGGGGGGGCGGGGGATTTTGGGGATTTTGGGGATTTTGTGGATTTTGGGGATTTTTTGGGCTCCTTAGCGCGCAGGCGGGACGGGTTCGTGTCGTTCCACACCAGCAAGTACCGGCTGCATTACCTGGAGACGCCCTCGGGGCTGCGCCTGGTGCTCAACACCGACCTGGGCGTGCCCAGCGCCCGCGAGGCGCTGCAGCACATCTACAGCAACGTGAGCGCCCGAATCCCGAAATTCCCGGCCCCGATCCCAAAATCCCGGCCCCAAAATTCCCGGCGGAAGCGACAAAATCCGCCCCGGGAACGCCAGGATCGATGCTGCTCCCAAAAACTGCCCCAAATCCCAAAATTTGTGCTCTGAAGAACCTGAATCCCAAAAATTTGAGCCCTGAAAGCCCCAAATCCTCAAATTTTGGACCCAAATCCCAAAAATCCCGGCCCCAAAATTCCCGGTGGAAGCACCAAAATCCGCCCCCGAAGCACCAGGATCGACCCAGGTCTCAAATTCCCGATCCTGCTCCCAAAAACTGCCCCAAATCCCAAAATTTGTGCTCTGAAGAACCTGAATCCCAAAATTTGAGCCCTAAAATCCCCAAATCCGGGAATTCCGGACCCAAATCCCAAAAATTCCGGCCCCAAAATTCCCGGCGGAAGCGCCAAAATCCACCCTGGGAGCAACGGGATTCAGCCGGTGCTAAATGAGCAGCTGCGGTCCCAAAAACTGCTCCAGAGGCCAAAATTTGTGCTCCAAAGGATCTGAATCCCCAACTTTGAGCCCTAAAAGCCCCAAATCCTCAAATTTTGGACCCAAATCCCAAAAATTCCAGCCCCAAAATTCCCGGTGGAAGCGCCAAAATCCACCCCGGGAGCAGCAGGATTGACCCGGTTCTCAGGTTCAGGATTCTGCTCCCAAAAACTGCCCCAAATCCCAAAATTTGTGCTCTGAAGAATCTGAATCCCAAAAATTTGAGCCCTAAAATCCCCAAATCCGGGAATTCCGGACCCAAATCCCAAAATCCCGGCCCCAAAATTCCCGGCGGAAGCGACAAAATCCGCCCCGGGAACGCCAGGATCGATGCTGCTCCCAAAAACTGCCCCAAATCCCAAAATTTGTGCTCCAAAGGATCTGAATCCCAAAATTTGAACCTGGAAAGCCCCAAATCCTCAAATTCCGGACCCAAATCCCAAAATCCCGGCCCCAAAATTCCCAGCGGAAGCGACAAAATCCGCCCCCAAAGCTCTGCAATCAACCCGGGTCTCAAAGTCCTGATCTTGCTCCCAAAAACTGCTCCAGATGCCAAAATTTGTGCTCCAAAGGATCTGAATCCCCAACTTTGAACCTGGAAAGCCCCAAATCCTCAAATTTTGGCCTCAAATCCCAAAATCCCGGCCCCAAAATTCCCGGCGGAAGCGACAAAATCCGCCCCCGAAGTGCTGGAATCCACCCGGGTCTCAAATTCCTCATCCTGCTCCCAAAAACTGCCCCAAATCCCAAAATTTGTGCTCTGAAGAACCTGAATCCCAAAATTTGAGCCCTGAAAGCCCCAAATCCTCAAATTTTGGCCTCAAATCCCAAAATCCCGGCCCCAAAATTCCCGGTGGAAGCGCCAAAATCCGCCCCTGAAGCGCCAGGATCGACCCAGGTCTCAAATTCCCGATTCTGCTCCCAAAAACTGCCCAAAATCCCCCCTTGGAACCCCAAATTTCAACCCCAAAGGATCAGAATCCCAAAACCGGAGCTGTAAAACCCCAAATTTCCAATTTTTTTTGGATTTTCCTTCAAAATCCAGGGATTTTTCCCAAAAATAATGGGATTTCTCCCAAAATAATGGGCTTTTGCCCCCAGAATAATGGGATTTCTCCCCAAAATCATGGGGTTTTTCCCCAAAATAATGGGATTTTCCACAAAATAATGTGATTTTCCTGCAGAATTATGTGGTTTTCCCCCAAATTCTGGGGATTTTCCCCCAAAATAATGGGTTTTTCCCCAGAATAACGGGATTTTCCCCCCAAAATCTGGGGATTTTTTCCAAAAAGAATGGGATTTTCCCCAAAATAATGTGATTTTCCCTAAAATAATGCGATTTTCCCACAGAATAACGCAGTTTTCCCCCAAAATGTGGGGATTTTCCCCCAGATTCTGGGGATTTCTCCCCAAAATCCGGGGATTTTTTCCCAAAATCTGTTTTTTTTCCCCCAGCTTTTCGTGGAGTTGGTGGTGAAGAACCCCCTGTGCCCCCCCCGCGCCCCCGTGCAGAGCCTCCTGTTCCGGCAGCGCCTCGACGCCTTCGTCCGCAGCCTGCCCTACTTCGGGCCCCGAAATCCCAACAACTGACCCCGAAATCCCAATAAATGACCCCAAAATCTGCATCAGCGGCCCCAAAAACCCCAAAATCCCAATAAAGGACCTCAAAATTCCTGTACAGACCCCAAAATCTCAATAAATGACCCCAAAATCCCAATAAATGACCCCAAAATCTGCATCAGCGGCCCCAAAAACCCCAAAATCCCAATAAAGGACCTCAAAATTCCTGTACAGACCCCAAAATCTCAATAAATGACCCCAAAATCCCAATAAATGACCCCAAAATCTGCATCAGCGGCCCCAAAAACCCCAAAATCCCAATAAAGGACCTCAAAATTCCTGTACAGACCCCAAAATCTCAATAAATGACCCCAAAATCCCAATAAATGACCCCAAAATCTGCATCAGCGGCCCCAAAAACCCCAAAATCCCAATAAAGGACCTCAAAATCCCTGTACAGACCCCAAAATCCCAATAACTGACCCCGAAATCCCAATAAATGACCCCAAAATCTGCATCAGCGGCCCCAAAAACCCCAAAATCCCAATAAAGGACCTCAAAATCCCTGTACAGACCCCAAAATCCCAATAACTGACCCCGAAATCCCAATAACTGACCCCAAAATCTCAATAACTGATCCCAAAATCTCAATAAATGACCCCAAAATCTGCATCAGCGCCCCCAAAAACCCCAGATTCCCAATAAATGACCCCAAAATCCCTGTACAGACCCCAAAATCCCAATAACTGACCCCGAAATCCCAATAAATGACCCCAAAATCCCCAAATTCCTTATAGAGATCCCGAAATCCCAATAAATGACCTCAAAATCCCAATGGAGACCCCAAAATCCCAATAACTGACCCCGAAATCCCCATAACCGACCCCAAAATCTCCATTGGCAACCCCAAAAACCCCAAATTCCCAATAACTGACCCCAAAATCCCAACAACCGACCCCAAAATTCCCAAATCCAAACCCCAAAATCCCAATAGAGACCCCAAAATCCCAACAACCGACCCCAAAATTCCCATCAACACTCCCCAAAACCCCCAAAATCCCAATAACCGACCCCAAAAACCCCAAAATCCCAATAAATGATCCCAAAATCCCAATAAATGACCCCAAAATCCCAATGGAGACCCCAAAATCCCAATAACCGACCCCAAATTCCTGTCAGCGCCCCCAAAAACCCCAAATTCCCAATAAATGACCCCAAAATCCCTGTACAGACCCCAAAATCCCAATAACCGATCCCAAAATCCCCAAAATCCCAATGGAGACCCCAAAATCCCAATAACCGACCCCAAAAACCCCAGATTCCCAATAAATGACCCCAAAATCCCTGTACAGACCCCAAAATCCCAATAACCGACCCCAAAAACCCCAAAATCCCAATAAATGATCCCAAAATCCCAATGGAGACCCCAAAATCCCAATAACCGACCCCAAAAACCCCAAAATCCCAATAAATGACCCCAAAATCCCAATAAATGACCCCAAAATCCCAATAAATGACCCCAAAATCCCAACAATTGACCCCAAAATTCCCAATCCAATCCCCAAAATCCCAATCCCGGAGAATCCATCAGGACCCCGCCCTACTTGGAGCCCCAAAATCCTAAAAAATGACCCCAAAATTTTGATTGACAGCCCCAAAAAACCCCAAAATCCAGACTGAGACCCCCCCCCAAGTTCCTTTTCGGGGAGTTGATCCCTAATTTAAATAAATTTGCATAAAACCTTTTTTGGTCGTTGGGTGTCGGGGGAGGGGCGGGTCCCCAAATTTGTGGTTTTTCCACCCAAAATTTCCACTTTTTCCTCTCAGATTTTTCCCCTTTCTCCCTGAATTTCCCATTTTCTACCCCAAATTTCCCAACTTTTCCCTCAAATTCCCCCAAATTTTCCATTTTCCCCCAAAATTTCCCATTTTTTTCTCCCCAAATTCCCTTTTTTTCCCCCGAATTCCCTCCAAATTTTCCCCCCATTTTCCCCCCTCAATTTTCCCCCAAATTCCCACAAAGTTTTTTCATTTTTTCACCCTAAATTCCTTTTTCTCCCGATTTTCCCTTTTCCCCCAAATTCCCACAAAATTTTCCCGTTTCCCCCCCAAATCTTCCCCTGAAATTTCCCCCGAATTTTCCCCCAAATTTTTCATTTTTTCCCCCAAATTTTTCCATTTTTTTTCCCCCCAAATTCCCTTTTCCCCCCGATTTTCCCTTTTTTCCTCCAAATTCCCTCAAAATTTTTCCATTTTCCCCCGAATTTTCCCATTTTCCCCCAAATTTACCCCCAAATTTTCCCATTTTTTTCCCCCCAAATTTTCTCCCTTCTCCCCCTGGCGGCCAAACCCGGAACTTCCCTTTAAGCCACGCCCCCTTTAAGCCACGCCCCCTTTAAGCCACGCCCCTCCAACCCTGCGCGCGCACCGGTGGGCGTGGCCACGCACGCAAATCCCGCCCCGCGCACCGGTGGGCGTGGCCACGCACGCA